TCCTCCTTTCACCAACAAATTCTAAGTAAATGTTACGTTATCAGACAAGCTTTTATTTTTCCGGCAGGTGACTTAATTCTTTATGTTCTAATTCCCTCGAGCGATTAGCAATTGTCCTCCGATGATGAAAACTTTATGACAGTGCTGAAGGGAACATGATATTCTATCGATCGAGAAGGAAAATGAAGGAGGGGATAAGTTTATCATTTATAAAACTATGATGGCTCTTGGTTACGTCTTTGGCAACTCTTGTGCACCTTTCTCTTTCTCCAGACTTCCTGCGTGCTTCATATTTTAATGAACACATACTGACCTAGCCACGATACACTCGGCTTTGTTTTGAGTACGAGGTTTTTATCAAGTACCAAATAATTAATTTCATCTTTGTTACATACAAACTACTTTTCTTTCGACTCTACATTCATTTCAACTTTTTATCATATAAGGGGCAAAATTACTGAATTGTGATTGGTCAAGACAGAGGGCATTTTTTCTTAATTTTTGTAATTGCCCCGGGCAAAATTACTTGAAAATGATTGGCTGAAAATCGCTTAGCAACGGCTGCCAAGGTAAAGAAATTTCTGTTTGTTTTGTAACAATGGCGTCCCGTTTTGCGCGAGATCAGTAAGAAAACATTTTGCCCCTTATATTATATACAAGTAATGACATGGTTCCTCGTAAAATTAAGGATTAATATCACTTGTGTTTGGCCCATTTTTCTTCACCTTTGAATTTATTAAGACATCCCAGACAGCCACTACCATGACATCCCCACAACATATGACAAAATGACTTTTGGCAGATTGAACCTACGTGTACAAAAAAAAAATCGAGACAAAAAGAACATACGTCAACGGGGCTGTGCTCTAAGAAAAATCAAAGGGAGCCCAGTGCTCTGAAACTGTGAAATCCAGGGTGCCCGGTATATGCTTTTTATTAAAAAAAACCAGGATTCCTGAGTCACCCAAGAGCAAAAGTAAGGCATCAGGGGCCACTGGGCGCTGCTAGACCACAGCCCTTGTCAACCATTTAAACCCTAAGAGTGACCAGCATGTAATTTCTCCTTACAGTAACACTGCTAAATCATTAATCAGGATCATAAGAATAAAGGTAATGATCCCCGACCTACAAAGCTTTGACTGTTCTATCAATTCTCCTTGTCAGCACCAAAGGAAATGTATAGAGAACAGTATGGAGAATATGTATACTGATGTTAGGGTGCAGAGCGCTAAGTCATGTTAGAGGCAACTCAGTGGTTATCTTGTGTATTAATGGAACACAAGAAAAGCTAACTTTTCCATCTAGGATTATAAATGAGTAAAAGTATCAAAAAGGTAAGTGCATTACACAGGAAAGGGGCACAAATTATCATACTGCAAACTATCAAACAGCACAGAAATAACCTGCCAGAAACTGTCACATCCAGTCCAGATAGAGCAGCAGTACTACACCTCAATGAAATTGCGTAGTCAGACGAGAAATGGCTTGGTATGGTATTAGTAAACTAAGGAGATTATGAAAGGAGAAAACATCCAGACTATAAGTGAGCAGGTGGAAATAAGAAGACCAAGAAGAAGATGGGTACAGCTGGGACAAGTCCTAGAATGGAAGGCCATGCAATGCCCTATAGTGCACTCATCTGAGTATCAGAAGGCAAAAGAAAGTGACAACAATCAGTTATGATGTGGTAGTAAACTTACATTTCTGTGCAGGAATACTTGCTGTCATTGCATCAGGCCATCTGTATGGCATTGGTTGAAGACAGCACTGACATAAGATGTGGATCTGATCTGGGGTACATGTGTAGTCTGGTGGTGTCACACTCGTTGTTGGTGCTACTTTAAACAGAAAAAAATTGAAATCATGAAATATTAAATCAATGGGAGGGTCAAAAGTAGACAAATTATTGGTCACAAGCATGGAACAAAGAAATATACTTGACTCCACTAAGATGAGAGGATTCAAACCAAGGCCACTTCAGAACCAATTTTTCTAACAACCTCATTTCCTTGATTATAGAACGGTGTCATTCTCCTACTAGTTTCAAAGGATAAATCATGATGTAGCTTTGAAATATCTTCCAAGTTCCCCAATCATTATTAAGCAAAGGCAAATTACAATTTTTCTGTGACCCACCAATAGGCTCTCACCAAAATTGTACTCTTATACGAGTGTGACACCACCAAAATTGTACTCGCCTTCAAGGCAAAGGTTGTTTTTCACAGTGCAAAAATTCCTCAGAATGACATGGCCCTCCAATCCACTGTGTTATTACAACTTCTCTTCTCTTATTTTGTTTACCTAGATCACCTGTTCACTCATAATTTCAACTAGTGAGCACAGTTTTGGCTGGTGGTTTTCAATGTCCACTAACCAGTTTGGCTAGTAAACAAACTGAAATTGTCGTAACATCTATGTTGTCTCTAGCCACTAGGCTAGTAAGTTGAAAAGTTAGTGTTGAGCCCTGACCTACCCTGTTTCTATCTCCCACCTTATACCATGTTCATTAAATTGCACTCACCTTCACTAGTACTGGCCATAGGTGTCAAAATGGTTGGTGAAATGTATCCAGGACAGAGTCGACAGTTGGTGGGTACAGGCCTTCACAAGGGAATGAATTGCCAGTAAATGGCTTAGTTTATATAATATTGAGAGAAAGAATGCTTGATGAGGTTCATTGCATTTATGCACACTTGCATTTCTTAAAGGAGTTAACTACTGCTTCTCGTGCCTCTTCAAGAAACTTAATTCAAGAACAAGTTAATTAGAGTTTGCCTCTGTCAATCCTTTCAGCACACCTTTATCCATCACCCTACACCTTCCAGCTCATCATTACCTCTTCTGCAGTGTTTCCTTTCTGAGTAAACTTACATTTTGTATTCTCCTTCAAGGTAAAGGTTGTTTTTCACAGTGCAAAAATTCCTCAGAATGACATGGCCTTCCAATCCACTGTGTTATTACAACTTCTCTTCTCTTATTTTGTTTACCTAGATCACCTGTTCACTGTCTCATAATTTCAACTAGTGAGCACAAAAAAAAATTCATTTGTCCTAAACTAACCTTATTAAAGAGGAGAATCCAAATAAACCCCCAAATGAAGAAGGCATAAAAGGTGCACCTCTGTCATAAAGAAAAGAAGTAAACTTAAGTTAACATACCGAGATTTTCCTGGTCTTTGTAATATATTGCATTAAAAATTAAAGACTTTTAGACTCAAACAAGTTCAACAACAAGTAACAGATTGGAAATCAAGATCTAAGCAAAAAAATTAATATGCAATACCCTGCAGGGCCGTGATCTAGCAGTGGCCCCTGGCACCTTACTCTTGCTCTTGGGCTACTCAGGAATTTTAGTTTATCCATAAAAAGCATATGCTGAACACCATGGATTTCACATTTTAAAACAATGGTGTCCCTTCAATTTTTCTTAGAGCATAGCCCTGAGTGTGTAGCTTTACTATTTACAAGCATTACAAAGTTTGCACAGTGTTGTTGTCAACTCATTCACTCCCACGAACTCATTAGATCATTAGCAGATGAAGTACAATTTGTTCTCTTTGGAAAATTTTCAAGTGGTTACTTGCACCAAATTGCATATTAAGAGATCATGTTGTTACTTGTTAATAATTATTTACAAGAAAAAGGCATCACAGAGAGTCAAGACAGATGAAATCTTGAAAGCATGTAGGCACTGTTTGTAATTTGCACTTGTGTGACAACTTTGCACTCCTGTTACAAGAATAATGCATTTGTTTTCAGCCAATCAGAAGGGTGCAATTTTTTCATGAATATTTATCAACCTTGTAATTTAGCATCTAAAATGCAAAAATTAATAATGATTAAAGATAAAATGATTCATACGTTCTATCAGAGTCATCAGACTCACTGCTGTCACCAACACCACTGGCACTGCTGTCATCACTATTGTTGTAATCGTCATCATCCTCACCATCATCAGCGTCCTCACCAAAGGATGACGACACAAACAAACCTCTTGAATGTTTTGGTCTAAGCTGCAAAAATAATTAGCAGCAGAGAAATTTCAGTTGCCTACAAGATAAATATTTTGCTATTACCTTCCCTTTAAATTGAAATTGCTTTTAGAATCATTTACTCATTTCTGGTTATCATTCAAATTAAACAGTAGAAGTTAGGAAAAACATTTTCACAAAGCAGTTACAGATAACTGAACAAAATAGAAATCTAAAAGGAGTTTGTGTGTCAGCTCCCAAAAAACTTGGTAATGTCAATGTTAATTCTTTACCCCTTTACATCCTAACATCAGTATGCATATTCTCTGTACTGTTTTCCATACATTTCCCATGGTACAAACAAGAAGATAATTTGGATAATGATATCAACAAAGTTGAAATGGTAAATTGGCCACCAAAACGATTACAAAAGCTGACGTTTCAAGTGTTAGCCCTTCGTCGGAGCGAATAGAGGAATTGTGGGTTGTGTGTGCTTTTAAAGGCAGAACTTTCATTACTCCCACTGACGCAGCCCCAAACAGTTTCTTTCAAAACTATCAGCCTTTATACAAACAAGAAGAGTTTGTTTAACGGTTGAGAGTTTTTTTCATTGCAAATCATTTCCTTTCTTCTTGCGACCTTTGATCTAGGGGAGATATTGTAGGTAGAAAGTAGATGCTGGTCTCTCTTAGAGATCAAAGGGTTAACAGCCACATACCATATCCTCTGTTATCTTATTTTTCCTATCCATTTCTCTTAGCTCTTCTTCTTTCCGCTGTCTCTCTATTTACAGAACACGATATGTATAAGGGATGGATAAATTACAATTGAAACTCACACTCTTTCAATGAGATTTATGTTAAGATATCTCCTTAATTAATAACTGTATTCTCTAATACTTTATAATCTGAGGGACTATAACATCAATAACTTGTAATCTTAAAAAATTTCCTAGAAAAACTGCTTTCACTCTACCTGGCTGTTCTTTCAAGAAGGCTTCTACCAAGTTGTTTATGATGTGATTTTTGCTAATTCTTTCAACCTTTTTACGACACTAGCAAAAAAAAAAAAATAGCATCCAGGTCACAATTCTATTCAATAAAAAAAGTTGTTTGCTTAACAACATCTGAAATTGGGTTAACCTTGAAACACTTTAAAATGAAACAGATGGGGGAGTGGGGGCCAACAAAAGGAAAGATATAAAAGTTAGGTGACCCCTGAAGAGGAACCTCCTTATTTGGCCTAAACAGGTCTGGTACTGGGAGTTGCATATCTTGCAAAAAGGGTTCTTTTTTTTTTGATTTGATTGCAAAATTTGAACACACCAGTCCAGTTTAGCTTAGAGCTGGTTTAAATGGGGGCTTGTATAATCACAACTCCAAGAGCTATGTTCCTTACTCTTTCTGAGAAGTGTACAGGTTTTTTAACATCCCTTCTGATCAGTATCAAGAGAATGAAGGAGACAAGACCATTAAAATGTCTAACCATTAGCATAGCAAAGGCAACACTATCTCCTTTGTTATTTTTAAGACCCTGAGTACCTTAATTTGAGGCCCAAACTTTACACCTCCCACAAAACAATCTGGGACTCTACAACATGAACTAACTGTTAAAAATGTTAAGAAGTCCTTAAATTAGTATCTTCAACCATGTATCCTTCTGCACAACAAGCCGTGAACAAGATCTCCACGATCCTATGTGCAAATCACAGTCAGAATTACACAATTCCAGCCTTTAATTTGCAGAGACTTCATGCAACTTAAAGAACAGTTACTCACAGATGGAATATCACCAGTTAAGGGCAATCCATCTACAGTACTACAAAGAACTAGCACAATGGATACAAGGCTGTCTAATTCCTATGATAATAATTTAAAGCTCAATGCAATTTGAAATAAACTTTTACTCACAGTTGGACATTCCTTAGAACGTTCCATCCATTGTGAATAACACGCAGCACAGAATGAATGGATACAGGGCTGTAAACTAAAGGAAGTCCATCATTTTCGTGAAAAGTTATTATGAGGCAGAAATACCCTTGCTTGTGAAAATCACATTCCTTTCAAATTTTATAACTTTCTTAAATCAGTGTGTCTGAAATAGAGACTAACCATTTTCTTTTAAAGTAATTAACATTTGTTGAAATGTACGTGTGCCTTGAAAATATTAAATAAACAACTTTATTCTGGGTTTGAACCTTCTAGCACAAAAAAATCTATTCATTTTCTTAGTAAGGGAGAGAACAATCCACAATGCTGTTGCATGCCTGTATTTATACTCTTACCTCACACAATCATGGAAAATGTCCTACATGAAAAAAGAAAAAAAAAAAGCAGAAAACAATAGTTTATTTATTTAATAAATTATAGAATCATATAACTGAATAAAATCTTGAATTCTGATCAGTTAACAAAGCAAGGTATTTAGCGTGTAATTGTGATTTGAAATCAAGGCTAAGTGATAATGTTTTGCATCTCTTGTTTTGTGCTCAGGATGAAAAACAACAATTAATCAAAAGTAGTTTGAGGGAGGGTCAAGAGAGGTGCATTAAGCAAGGAGGGCTGGTGCAAAAGTAAAAACCCTCAAAAGTTGGCATATCTGCAAAACACTCTGCTGGCTACAAGAACGATACATTTACACATGGAATGATAAAATCCTAATGACCTTACTTGGCATATACTACAAAGCAGCGTATCAGCAATGGAGTTATGTGGGAGAAGCTCAGGTTTTTTGCTACTGGATGCTCCCTCTTCATCCCCCTGGCGCTTCCTTTTGGGCTCGGTTCCTTCATCTGTATCTCCAGCCTTAAATGTACAATGTTAACTAACAAGTAAGTACTTGCAATATCAGACTGTTTGTACAAGTGGATGTAAAATTATTTGCTGTCGATGTATTAATTTTTTAACACATTCCATATTCAAGGACAAAATGATGAAGCCTAAAAATTGTTTTCAGTAAAAGCTTTGAATGACATGTTTATCACAATGACTGTGGAGACCAATCAAAAACAGTAAATGTTTTTTTTTAACGTGATAAAAGATATTATATTATACAATGAAAATCATATTAGTAATTATAACGATTACAATAATAATACAAATAATATCAATTGAAGTTTACCTCACTATGAGACCTTTTTTGAGAAACAATTGCTGCCTCACTTGGTTTGACTTCTTCATTCTCACCAACATCTTCCTCTATAAACATAATTATTAATTCAAAAACAAGACAAAAGATAAAGAACCCCATTAAGATATTATTTCCCATTGAAACAAAAGGTTTATACTTTGTAATGATGATCAATCCTTGCTCATTCCACAAAATATATTTATGACTAAAGAATATCAAGGAATGTTCACTAATTAAGGTACCATGTGCATAGGTCTGGGATATCAACCTATTCATATATAATGCAGTTCTAAATTTACTTCTACATATTTAGTCGGAAAAATGCAAATTAACCCTTCAAATCCAAAGATCTGATTGGTGATTCTCCCCTCAAGCTGCTAAACATTTCCTTGTAAATCATTACAAAGACTTTGGTGTAGAACAAGAGAAAAAATTCTACCTGATAAGTTTGAATATTCTCATTACCTGTTTGCTGGATAACGTATGGACATTGTTGGAAGAAGTTACATGTTAATCACTTTTGCAAGTTGAAGGGTTAAGTAAAATCTTCTATTGCAGATTTTCAAAAAAATGAAATTATAAACTGCTTCAGCCAACTTTAGACAGGCACAAGAGTTAAAACTCGAGCTACACAGGCTGTATAGCAACCAACTATTTCAGTGAAGTCTTGTGATCTATTTTTAACAAAATATTTCATGTTAGACAACCTGATCAATATTGTTACTTACCCGTATCATTGTCATACTCCAAAGTGTTATCTAGTAATTCTGCTTCTTCTTTCAAGACCTTTAAGTCTTGAAAAACAAATGCTATATCTGAAAAAATAATCATGATAATATTGAGACACTTAAACCCTTTCAATCCCAAGATTACATTCATAAATTCTCGTTACTGTCTGCCATACACTTATGATGTTAGTTAAGAGATTTTGGTACTGGATCAACCAATAATCCCCTAATTGATATTTTTCTTTATTCTCATTAATTGACTGTTTGACATTGCATTGATATGGTAAGGAGAAATTCTATCTTGGTCACTCATGGGAGTTAAAGGGTAAAAAAATCTGAATTTACCAATTCATTTCAGATTTATTATTTGTTAAGCTAAGTTTCATGAAAATTTTTTTTTCATCTAGGAATAAGCTTGGGACAAATAAGAATTTTTTATTTTTAAGTTCCCAAAAATTTCTTTATTATATACAGATTTTGC